GAAACCAGGCAGATCATATGTCGGGCTGGTGACCAGTGCAATGGAGAAAAACCTGAGTCAACGAGGGTTTGTAAACTTGCTCCCTGCAATGGTAAGTGAGTGTCTGATATAGCTGCAATTGAGGCCATGAGAGTGTCAGTTTCTGTTGCAATTTTGTGATGCCTAAATACCATGGTGACAGCTATATGTGAGGAGGTGGCGAGAGCTAGGGTGTGATAAATGGGGATCCTGGTTTCCTTTGATAAAAAATTGCCAATTTTCTGATAAAAACCCCAAAATCCGTGGTTAAAATGAAACCCTCCTCCCCCCACTGCCCCCAGTCCTGCTGATGCCCCTCACTCCCCCACCCACACATTTGACACAGGAGGCTGCTGGAATGAGCCAAAAAAAAGAGGTTTATTTATGTCGGTACATTTTAAAGTACTGACATAAGCCTTTTTTGGCGCACTCCAGCAGCCTCTGGCATAACATGTAACCAAATTGCCTTTCAGATCCGTATCAGCCGATATGGCTGGTTAATAATTGGCTATTGGTATCAGCCAAGAAAATCTTTTATCGGTGCACCCCTAATACATCTAAATTGTGCCATGTAAATAAAGCTGCATCTATTAAGAGTACACATTAATAATATTTTGGATACCAAGCTTAGGCCCATCGTAGGCATTGTGGTGCTGCAAAGTGGTAAATAACCAGTACCTTTCAACCTTCATTCTGCAAATTGCACCCTTCACTTCTGACATAAATTTTTATTTCATTTGAAAGATCTGTCAACCCAGCTTTTAGTTCTGCACATCAGTGACATAACTGCTGAATCACAGAGCAAAAGAACACACTTAGACTGCGTCCAGATGAGCGCAGACATTTGGTTCCCTGTGGACAAGTAGCAGCGTCACACCTTGCACCGCAGCTGCTTGTCCCTTGGGAATGCCTGTGCCAGGTTTGCCACAGGCAAGCTGGAACAGCTACTTCCCTGTATATGCCAGGGTCATGATGTAGATATACTGCTCTGTTGGCTAGGTGCCAAAGTACAGGTTTTTAAAGTTCTGGCCAGCCTAGTGCTGGCCAGGCTTGATTTTCAAGTCCCAGGGTGAATTTGCAAGGCTGGCAAGTGGAAACTGCTTTCTTTTGATACAGGAACTGCTGAGACACTCACATAAAGTCATTCGTATTTCACAGTGCTATTTTCCCAGAGTACAAGCACACTAAAATATTTTCTCAGACCATTTTTATGACTAGGAATATTTCTCTTCTCTGTAATCATCTACATTCATTGTTTGTTTGATTTAATTTAGTTTTTCTTTTAATTCCCACTGCAATCCTAGCCCTGCCACTGATTCTTTATTGAAAGCAATAGAGAGAGCGCTATTGTGGAACAGTAAGGGTTTTTTTTTATACCAATGTAGTCTAATTCAGTTCATGCAAGTCTATTCACCGTTTACACTTAAACCCACTCTCACTGCCACTAGTGCAGGTAAACTGATACTGTTTCCGTGATGGGGCATTTTATGGAGAAGCTTAGTATAAGGAAAGGTTTTATCAATGCGCTGTATATTGTGAAACACTCTGAACACTGGGGGGAAGCAAAGCATTACTGTAACTTCACAGAAAAGCAGAAGCACTACAGTTACCCTTTGTCTTATGGAAAAGAGTGCTTTTTAAACTGCCAAGAATAACACTTGTGGAATTAAAAGAATAAAGTCCTAATATTGTGGAATCTTATGTGTGTGTTTAATGTTGCACGTGAGAAGTCACATTGAGCACATGGGTAATGGTTTCCAGTATTTGGATCCAAGGTGCTTTGTTTCTGAATTAGATAATTGTAATGTGATAGTCTGACCTCCATACACAAGGGGGAAAAACGCTTTGTAGACTCAGCAGAGGCTAATATAGGTGCATTACTGTTGGCAGACAGTTCATGGTTGTCTATCAACTGAATTGTGGACAAGAATTTTCAAAGGAGGCTAAGGGAGCCAGGTCTCCAGTACTCACTGAATTTCAGTCAGTACCAGTTGCTTCATCCTGTATGGGGGCACCTACATGTTCATTAATGCACTTTCAGTAACATGCATTAAGTCTTGTACTTCCACTGTGAAGTACTAGAAAAATGCATGTTAGCATATTTTAACGTTCATTAGCCAACAAGCACGTTTTTTGTGATGCTTTAATGCACATTAAAGCCCATGTGTAGATATGCCCAGTGAAACTTGGACCACTGAGAGACTGGCAGCAAAATCAGGTTTGGCAGGGTTAGGCCCATATTAGAAAGTTCAAATTAGCAGTGTGGGAGGAATTTATTGATTCCCAGGGAAATGTCAGGCTAGGATATTCATAAAATTGCAGTATTGCCCATTGGTCCTCAAGTACCACTGAATAAAAAAATCTGTCTAAGGAAGTTAAAATATTTATGAAGTAAAACAGCTTACATTTACTCATGTTTGTTGTTGTTGGCTATCATGGACTAAAACAATCTTCAGAGCCAACTGTAATAAACTGCTGACCTTCCACTCCAGCACTGCCTTCTGACTGGTATAATTTGTGTCTGAGACAGCACACGCCTGGCAAGAGTGCAGTACAAAATCTTTGTTCCCCTCTCAAATTAAATTTCCCTACCATGTAACACTCTAGCACTAGACCTAGTCACTACTTACATCACCAGAAACAGGGACTTGATCCTAAGGGCTAGCATTAGCACCTTGCATTGGGGGTTAATTTCATTCCAAGTTTAATACTCCCTCTGTTTTTATTTAAGTGCTTGTTTAAACCCATCACCAGGCCCATCACCAGCATGTCCAAGCACACAGACAGTTTGTGCTTACCCTGAAGTACCATCATCACTGGGACATTTATAAATTCCTGGACTGATAGACTAAATAGAGTAGAAAAGAGCACACACTGGGCATGACTACACAAGATACGTTAATGTGCATTAGCCTAATATAATGCACATTATGGGCATGCGTCTACACACGTGCCCTTAATGCACATTAAAAATAGCGAAATTAGGCTAATCGTGCCTTAAATTTGATACCTGCAAATGCAGATATCAAATTTAAGTGTGATTAGTTAAAGTGCATTAATGCATGTGTAGATGCAACCTGGTACTAACTTTACTGCCAGGTCTGCCTAGCCACTAGGGGCACATGGCAGGGCTGCAGGGACTAATTTTAGTGCACTAACTTTAGTGCCAAGTCCCTGCATGTGTAGACACCTGCCATTTAATGCACATTAAATTTCGTGGTGCTTAAATGCACATGTAGACATGCCCATTGAAGCATTGAGAAACACCTGTTCTACAAATGAACAAGTGGCAAGGAAAGTGCAGTAAGCCATATGGCAATATTACAGTGTTGAGCAGTACAAGTACTAGATGATTTTAAGTACAGCAAACACTGAGCTATAGGAAGATGCTGTACAATAAGGCCAACATCAGTTCATCAAGCCAAATCCAACCCTGCTGTGGCAAGCTAGAAACAGAGTATGGATTATGTTCCTCTGTCCCAAATGTTCTGCATTTCTCTGTATGTACAAGACCATGTTTCTTTGTGGGTGCTCTGCTCAAGACTTTGATCCTTATTTTTTACTGTGGGGGAAATTTTTAAAGTTCAACATGCAGTCTGATATCCAGGTTCTCTAGCTTTCAACCTGCTAGTGTTGATATTCCTTAGGGTCATATATTACATACAGTATCTGCTTTCCACTGTAATTCTAATATGACTTGCACATTTCTGTCCAGTTATGTTTCTCTGTTCTGTAATCATGATCCATGTAGTTCATTTATTTCAGAATGTTGGGTGAGCTCATTATACTCACTAGAGGGTGGTGTAATCAATTTGCTATCTATTTTTCACTTGTACAATAGTCTTAATTACTGTTACACTTCTTGGCTTCTTAGACAGGACCTAGACAGGAGAAGATTTAAATCAAAGAGTCCGTTTCTGATCAGTGTCAGGATTATTGAGCCGCTTGCACATTGATTTGATCCAGTTCCTTCTAGACTCTTTTTCCATGTAGCTGTCTGTCACTGTGGAGGACTGTGCCCAGTGACCCAAGTGCACTCATCCAGTGCTCCATTCCTATGATAAGCCTGATGACAATGCTTGTGGTCCACCTATGAGAGGCCCTGAACTCTCACAGTTTACTATGTGTGAAGATTAGTCCCAATCCTGCAAACAGGCAAAACCAAGTGACAGACTTATGTGTAGATCTTTGCAGAGACTTGATCAGAACAGCCTGAAATACCCATGAATTGTTTTTGTTTTGACACCTTGTGCAACCACTTTCCTTGTTGGTTTTGTACAGTGTGATGAATTCCATTAGGTGTTCCGATTTGTAGCCTCAAAATATATCTTCCAAAAAGGAATCAAATCCCATGCACTAGGTATGTAGGAAATTTGAGACACATATTTGTTAAAGGTATTCCCTTGGTCATCACTACTATATATCTATATCTAAATATCTATATCTATATATCTATATCTCTATAGATATAGACCTATAGGTATAGATATATGGGGGGGGACAATGCCTCAATCACTATAATAAATTCTAAATACCTATAAATTTGGGGGTTTGATTTTGGGGTTTTAATCATGGAAAATCAGAGCTCCCCCTTTGCTCACCAGGACACAGGTCCAGCTGTGGCTGTCCCCCACCACTGCTTTGTGGCACTGAGGAGCCCCAATATGCTGGTACCCTGCCCATGCCATTGCCCCTCACTCCCAAGGCACAGCCCCTAGCCCTGCTGGTGCCCTGCACTCCCAACCCACAGCCACCTGGCCCTGCCAGTGCCCCTCAAGGCTCACAGCCCCCTGGCCCTACCTGTGCCTCTCACTCCCAACCCACAGCCCCCTGGCCCTGCCTATGCCCTTCATTCCCCACCCACAGCCTTCTGGCCCTGCCAGTGCCTCTCACTCAGGACTCATAGCCCTTTGGCCCTGCCAGTGTCCCTCACTGCCCACTCACAGACACCTGGCCTTGCCAGTGCCCCTCACTCCCCACCCACAGCTCCCTGTCCCTACCAGCCCTGCTGGAGGGGGCCACCAGCTGTCAGGGGTATGAGGCCAGGGACCCAGCAGCCCCTTGCACCCCCCAGCAGCCCCTTGCACCCCCCAGCAATGCCCGAGCCCTGACTGCCACCTGTGGGAAGAAGTGGCTGCTGTGGCAGGCTAGAGCACAGAGCCCAGATCCCCCTTTCCCATGGGTGGCAAGGCTGGAACGGAACCCATGGGAGCAGGGTGGGAAGGATGTGGGCTGGCATCTGTCAGCTTGAGGCTCCCTGCCCTGCTGCCCTCACCCCGGGGTCTCCAGGGCCCAGCAAATGGGACCCATCATGGCAGGGCAGGTTAGGGAAGCTCAGTGCTGCCACTGGGAGCCCCGTGCCACCAAGGCAAAGTGCCCCCTGCCCTCCAGGCAGCAGCAGGGGGCACAACTCCACATGACCGTCCCTGCTACTGCTGGGCAGGCAGGGAGTGCCTCGCCATGGCAGTGTGGGGCTCCTGACAGTGACACTGAGCCTCTCTGCCCCACCCCACTCTGCCCTGCCACACTGTTTCCCACCTGCTAGGACACAGAGGCCCTGTGGGGAAGCCATCAGGAAGGGGAGCCCGAAGCCTACAGGCACCAACCTGCATCCACCCACCACCCTATGCACAAATTTGAGGGACACATACCCCCCCATGCCTTCCCCTGGGAGTGCACACAGTGGCAGGAAGCCAGCCACCTGCTGCACCCCAGCCGGGCCCTGTGGCCGCACATTCCAACCCCAGGCCCCATGTACCAGCAGGCTGGGCAGTGTCCCCAGCCCCATCTGCATATGCATGTGGTGCTCCCTGCCTGATAGCCTTCCCCCCAGCCCCTTGCAGGCTGGAACTCTGACAGCTTGCAAGGGGAAACCTGCCATTTCCTGCATTTTTCTCCTTTAAAGGAGAAAAATCTGCATTTCTCTCTTTAAACAGAGAAAATGGAAAGCCCAGATCCCTGGTCATTCATTTTGTTTAGGTCACCAAAGGCCTCAAAAATGTAGTTTTTCTTCTTTTTTAACATATAAAAGTCATATAAAAGTCATCTTTGAGGAATACTGCCTGTGATTTAATTTCTTTCGAGGAAGCTCCATTTTGAGGCCAGAGTTGTTGACAGCTGTCCTTAGGCCAAAATATGAGAAGATTTTGTGATGGGAAGGGGGAGGGTCAAATATTGCTCAAGTGTTGGATTATACATCTTCCACAGTTTGTCAGAGCTGATAAATCATGCAGTGAAATATTCTGTGTGTACTGCATCTGGCATTCCCCACTCACTGGGCACTGGACACATCTTTCTGAGCTTGAACAGATCTGTTCCTCCCTCCTGTTCAAGGAAGCCAGCACTTTCAGCAGTAGCCAGTGATTTTTAGGTGCCTGACTAGAGACAGTTAAAGGACTTGGTTTTTAGAAGATGGTTCCTGAATTTGTTCTGAAGCTCAGGATCCTTTCTGGCAATTCAGGCTGGGTACCTAGAGTTGTGAATTACTTTTGAAAATGTTGGTTTAAGCCAGCATAGTTCCATGCTTTCCCTCAGCCTCCTCTACCATCTTGTGCTTTTTATTTTTGCAGATGAGCCATGCCTGGGAGACAAGTCGATATTCTGTCAGATGGAAGTACTGGCACGTTATTGCTCTATCCCTGGCTATAACAAACTGTGCTGTGATTCCTGCAGCAAGCGCAGTAGCACTCTTCCACCTCCTTACCTTCCAGAAGCTGCTGAAATTGAAGAGGAAGTGATGTTTGATGCTAGTGACCTGCCTAGGACTCTGGTGATGCCAACATCTTTAGTACCTCATCACTCAGAATTCACTCCTGAGAAAAGAAGCTCTTTGGGGAGAATGCCATTTCTGGAAGAGGACATTGATATACATATTTCACCATCATACAGTAAGCCCAAAGGTGTTGAATCACCCCAGAGAAGAGTAAGCCAAGCAGGAAGTAAGACTTCTAAGTTAATTGCAACACCATATCAGCCACCTATCAAGATTGGTAATCTGGGTTCCTATAATGCCTCAGCTTTGGCAGCTGTTGTTCCTGGGGTAGCAGATAACACTTCCGTAGGTACTCTGCCTCCATTGCGAACCTCAAGGAAAAACGAAAAGCCTATTGACAAGAAACGTCTTTTGAGACCACCCACTTTGGAAAGATGAAAGTTAATACAAGAAAGAAAACAGTACTAGAAAGGGGGATGAGGGAGTTATATTTTTGTTTTGTTTTTGTTTGTTTGTTTATTTTATTGTTGTTGTTCTGGACACCATGGTGCATGCTGCTTTCCAAAAGCAGAGCTCTCTACAGATCAACTCTTTTTAGTTGTAAATGAACAAAAAGTGCTGGTTCACTTTCTAGTTGCTTCCATCCTCCTCCTCCACACGTTTCATTATCCGATTAGCTTGAATGCATTGGAGGAAAGCGCCATAGACTAGCACCACAACAATAACAGGAAGTTACTGGGTGTATTGGTCATGCTCTAGTACAGGAGACATGGCCAGAACCTATGGGTGTTCATTAGCTAATTGTTTTAAAAAACATCATGTGTAAAGGGAGGGGAGAGGAAACCCACTACCACAAGAGGTATCAAAGGTTTACACTTTTTGAAAAAAGTTTTTTGCAATGGAACAACAGAATCCATAAGACTTGTATTGCTAATTTATCTATATAAATGGATATTGTATGAGCAAATGTGCAGCTGTTGTGTAAATACTGTATATTGCAGAAAATCCATATTATTTTTAAGAGTTTTGTGTTGTCAGACCATTGTTAACCTATGTTACATTTCTGGATAATTACTAGGTGCCTGCCATTGCATACTGCCTTATTTACATTCCATGAGTTGATTTTCAAAACAGCATTGTCATAAGAGGAGGAGTTCTGTTTTAGATGGACTTACAGCTACTGACATTAAGATTTTTTTTAATATCAACAATGTGATGCTTCATTTTGGAAACGGAAAAAAGTGCAGACTTACAGGTTTGAGCCTACTCATTGGTACCTGTTAATTACAAGTAATTTAGCTTTTTCACAGTTTTTGTCAGAGGTATAAGAAAATGATAACAGGTGCCTGTGAAAATACACAAACCCTGCTAGCCTGTACCTGTCAGACATTCCTTATGATTGATATAAAACAATCAGTGCCTTTTCTTAATTTTCTTTTGTCCTAAAAGGACAAATGAGTGCAGGAAAGGAACTATGTATAACCAAACAGTACTATGGTGTTCACAAAACAAAAATGAGCTGGGTTTTCTGGATGACCTTTTTATTTCTCCTGAAGCTGAAAAAATATCACAAAGCTAAAGGAGGCACTAACCAGAAGTAGCTATAAGACTTCAAATGGATTTTTTTTCCTGTTTAAAACATTGATTTAAAGGTGAGAGAGATATTTATTTTTCAGCATGGTTCACTTTGAAATCCTCACAACCACAATGCATCTGACTGCAATAGTTTACTAGTAATTTATATCAACAACCATTTTGTTCACAGTTGACCCAGTCATGCTCTCTCCTGTGTTGCTGTAAAGTACTTGTATATAGGATCAAGAACTAAAGATATTTATTAAAAATAAAATTCTTGATAGTATTTTATGTACTAAATATTTACACTAATAGCAATGACTTTTTTTGCTAAGATAAAATACAGAGATGTAATAAACACCTGTATATGCTGTGTCATATGAATAGAACAGAAATTTAAGCTAACTAAACTACTGTAGACAAATTGTTGGGCTAATTATTTTGGAAAAAAATAGTGACAGTGTTTTTTATTACAAGCATCTTTAGCTTTTTAAATAGTTTACTGAAGCTTGACGTGCAATTTTTATTTCTACAAAAAAGTCCTATTGAGGAAACTGTTTTAATAAAACAGTGAATTTTTAGCACTATGAAATAGATTAGGACTCCATGGATGATGTTTGGGAAATGGACAAATAAACATATCAGGTAATTTTGTAGAATCACTGAGGTGAAGTCAGAATGCAAATCTGTGTCAGGAGACTTTATTGTCAACTAGAATGTAAATAAATTACACCTCCCCAACCTAATAGCATAGTTCACACTATGTAAGATCTGTCTTGCATTATGACGTTTGTAATCTAACCCATGGAAGTATTGACTTGATGCCTCTAAAGAATTGCTGCTACCTTTATGCAAGGCTTTTGAAGGTCAAAATAAGTTAGTGTTAAATAGACTGTATAGCAGACAATCCCTAAGCCTCAAACAGATGAATAGGATGTGTGTTTATTCCCCTGGAATTCCCCAGAAAGTCAAATTTTCTTTCTCTCTATCTTTACCTTTCACATATATACAAGATGGATGTAGATACTCTTTGTATCTTTTTTGTTTCCTTTTCTACCACGCTATTTTTCTTTCATTAAAGTGTACACTACTGATACTGTTTGTTGTACTGGGGAGCTCATAGCAATAAAAAAAATTAATGTAACATCTCTCTTTAGTTTGGTTTGTTGTTTAATCGCCACTTTGCAAAGTGGAGGCAGATCCACATCCTTTCTTAACTCTTTGTCAACCCATTAAAATGTAAGTCTCAACTAATTTTATTTCAATCCATTATAGAAGTAAAGCTTGCCTTTTTTCCAATCTGGAAATAGAGAGCAAGATCCAGGATACAGAGATACAAGCACAAAAGATGGAAGGCCAGTTTCTCCTTGATTCCAGTATGAGCTAAGCATTAGAGGGAAGAGAGGCTCCATGACAATGTGGACCAACAGGTACCACCCTTGGTTTCATAGTTGGTAGGGTTGGAAGGGACCTAAGCAGATCATCAAGTCCGACCCCCTGCCATGGGCAGGAAAGGATGCGGGGGTCAAATGACCCCAGCTAGGTGGCTGTCTAGCCTCCTTTCAAAGACCCCCAGGGTAGGGGCAAGCATCACTTCCCATGGAAGTTGATTCCAGCTCCTAGCCGCCCTGTCTGTGAAGTAGTGCCTCCTGATATCTAGCCTGGTCTCTTTGTAAGTTCAAGCAGCCTAGTATTTGCTCTTATATCAACCTGGTTTAGTGTCCAAGAGACAGTATGCCAGCTGAATACCTGTGGAAACAGCGGCACTTCATCTTTTCACCTCTGACCTTGAAATCCAGGCACAGCTGGCTCTGTCCATTCCCTGTCTGAAGAAACCACAGGTGGCCAGAGGCATCTTCTAGAACATCTCCACCCAGAGATGAATCATTAATGGAGGAGGGTCCACTAGCAGACACATTCTTTTAACTCATATGCGAGCTTTGTCAAGGATGATTGGCTGAAATCAAGTAAGTTATTTTTATGAAAGCACCAGTGTGGAAAAGGCATATTTTTTCATTACCCCTTTGAGTCTCATCTTAAAAGTCATATGCTGTGGCATAGCTAAGCAACATCAACTGGCACAGATCGTATCAGCCTGCTTACCTGAATGGATTCTATTGTCTGGTTTCTCTTGTTACAATTTCTGATGGAGAGTTCATTTTTGCAGTTACAAGGGAAATATAACGACCTTCCACTTTTTGCCTATAGTGGCCATAATGGTCTACAAGAAGTATAATGACACTTTTGATCCCTCAATCAGAATTGATATTCCTCAGCCTTGTACTTAAGAAATAAGCCTTCTCTGTGGAAATGGTTTTCCCCTTGTGTTTGATGCCCTTCAGTTCATGAATCACTTGATTATTGGAATGAGATGCAACATGCTGATTGAAAGCTTCTTTATAAGCAGATGACCTGTATACTTCAGAATACTTTTCTGTTCTTAAAAAAAAATCTTGACATAATTAGGGGAAGGTGGGGTTTATTTCCAGTTCTGCCATAGATCTCTTACATAATGTTAGATAACTGACTTCCTCCAGCCTATGTAGTGATTCCCCATCTGTATGTGGGGACAGTAACACTGTATATGGGGGGTGTTCTGTAGGTAATATTCATTAATTAGGTGACAAGGCATATACAAGTAGTGGAATGCACTTCTTCCTTTCCAAACAGACATTTCCTGACAAGAAACCTTTCCTATTATCTCTGTTTTTTCTCCATCATCTATGGCATGAATCTTCCTAGAAAGGAAGGAACTGAAGAATTGGGTGAAGCAGAGTGACAAAGAGCATGCCAGGCAATCAGCTGAGAGGAGTAAGGACATACTGAAGAGGATGGTGATTGTGGGCCACTGCACTTGAAAGCACAGATGGTTCTACAATGGATAGTGTTGAGGTAGGTGTTTCTCTCAAATTTCTGGCTGTTATCCCTAATCTGTATGCATGAGGGTAGGGGTCAGAGGGGATGGGGGTGTGTTTCTCAGGAGCAGGACAGTAAAATTCAACATTGCTGATTTATTATTCCTTATTGTAATTCCTTATGTTTTTCAGAGAAGTAGTGGGGGGGAAAGGTTCATTCCTTGCTCTAAAGACCTGATGGCCTAAACTAGACAAGTATAAAACCTGAAAGTAAGGAAAATTTGAGAAGCTTTAAGTGTAATGTGTAACAAAATTCTAAGATGCAGCTGGGCTAGAATGAGCTTTCAAATGAGAATGGAAAAGCATGAATTTTACACAGAAAAAAGGGTTCAGTGAGGGGATTTGAAAGTAGAAGTGACAAGGTTGAAGCATGGGCAGATCTAGAATTTTGAAAAGGGTGCAGATGGTGAGGTGCATCATAACATACAATACAAGATATATTTTCTGTCTAGTTAAAATGAAACTAGAAGATTTACAAATAAGCTAGAGGCCCCAGCATTATATTTTTCAGTTTATGATTGAAGCACAAACAAATACAACTTTATTGGAATATGCACTAATTTGCTATACCATATATATTAAAACCCAACAAACTGCAAAAAGTAATCAAAATATGCTGTTTCATTAGTCTTGTAGTCATTTAATTCTAATGTAGATCTGTTTTCAGTTTCATCAAGCAAAGTCTAGCCTTCTTGAGCATCTTGATAGTGCATCCAGTTTCACTGAAAGTTATTTCCACATATGAGTTAATGTTTAACTTGAGTTAAGTTTTCCACACCAGAGTTAATGTTCTGAACTAGAGTTACAAGCAGTCTACAGGGCTGTGAAACACAAGCTGAATTATTGGGAGCAGCTGAACAGACAGCAGAATTGTAGAAGAAAAAGTAGCTCAATTAGTGGAACCTCAAAACCATTAAAAGAAAAGAAAAGAAAACCATTAACACCTGTGGAATGAAGAGTTTAGAAGGAATCAGGTATATTATAATGAGTAATGCACGCAACTGACTCCCTGGCTGCTACCTGAATAGAAATGCTGCTCCCACTGCCAGGTAGTTTGTTTTAAAATTTGGGTAGAGCAGGAATCAAAGGCAGGGGTGGGGATGGGGGAGCAGGTGCATCACTGTATGCACTCTGGATCCACCCCTGGGAAGCAGGGGTTGATAGCAGAAAGTTGCAATAGCCCCTCTAAGAGAGAATCATGAGATAAGCCAGGGATTTTACAGTGGCAACAGAGAGGAAGGGACAATTGGAACATGTTAGGGAAGCAAACTGATTTGTTTATACAGGGGAGAGAAGTGCTTTAGGGTAGAAAGAGAGCATTTGATAATGGTAACCCTGTGGGGAAGGCTGTCAAGGTAAGTGGGAAAAAATTGTCTTCTGCTAACAACTGAGGTCTTCTCAGGGGCAGAAAGGCGTGTGATCAAAACCTGTGTCTATGCAGAACTGTAGTTAGCACAGCTCTTCCATAGGTATGCATGGGGTACCTTGCTATGGGCAAGCTGAGAAGGTGGCCAGGATTTTCAGAAATGAGTGATTCTTAGGTGCTTGGCTTTTAACTATGTCATTACTCAGTTCTGCTCTATGTCCATCGTTCTATTATCTTATAATTCAGGGGTATCAAATTCATCCAGCTCCTGGGCCTGGATGAGCAGCACAGAGACAGTCTGCAGGCTGGACTAAGCCCACAGACCAGGCCCATATGTCACAGCCAGCT